AGTTAGTTAGTTATTATCGTCGTCGTCGTGTGTGTGTGTGTGTGTGTGTGTGTGTGTGTGTGTGTGTGTGTGTGTGTGTGTGTGTGTGTGTGTGTGTGTGTGTGTGTGTGTGGTCAGATGGGCATTTCTCGTCTTCTAACTTAGAAGTGCGTTACCTGTGGAGTCAGTGTGTGTCTGTAAGTGTGTGTTTGGTGCACTATAATGAACATTCTTGCAGCATAAAGGCCCTTTTGTCATAGTAGAAGGAGAGACGGCCGTGTGTGTTAATGTGCATCTGTACAGCATGTGCATGTATGGCAGACAGAGGTAAAGAGCGAGAGGTCGGCGCAGCCTGGTACTCAGCTGCTGAGGCCCTGTGTGTGTGTGTGTGTGTGTGTGTGTGTGTGTGTGTGTGTGTGTGTGTGTGTGTGTGTGTGTGTGTTTGTGTGTGTTAGAGAGAGATACTGAGTGTACAACAAGAGACAGAATGACAAAGACAGAGCATTGAATAAGTCTCATTCAGTATCATTACACAGTGTCACGCGTCGCCCCAGCTGATTTAAAGTCCTTTAGAAATATCCAAGTCTCAATTGACCATTTGCTAAGCCCCGCCCCTCATAGTTACTGTTGCTAAGCTTGGCAACTTTCGAATTTCACAGAACAAATGCCGTTTACAACGATAACGATAAAAGGTTAACCACCAAACACTTTTTGAGTTTTTTTAAGCAAAGTTGTTTTAGCATTGGCTGACTAGATGTTATTAGCTTTAGCTAGCGACCGACCTTAGCTAACATTAGCTCCATAAAATAATATTTGTGAGTAGAATAAAATGTAAGAACAAAATTAAAGATTAAATCGTGATGTTTGTTAAATGTCTGTTTCCTTGTATCTCGTCTTAAATATGTGTCCTTGATGTTGCAAATGGAGCTGCTGTGATGCAAGAAAAATGTCAGACTTGATCTGACTATAAAGTATAATTGTATTTTATCGTATTAAATGCTGCCTCCAAATATTACACTTCATTTAAAAGGGGAACCCTGTGATATGAGTCTTTAAAACTCACTTGATAGCAACAAGATATCCTGCTTCATGATTGTTTGGTTGCATAGTTTACATACTTGTTTAGCATATTAAATAGGATTTTTTCACTTTAATCATTGCAACCGTTTTATGATAAAAATGGATGTGTCAGTTAACACAACACTCCCTCAGGTAAAGAGTTTGTTCATAAACAACCGACAAGACCATGGCGAGATGGCACTAACGTAATTAAACACTAACTGTGACTACTTCAACATGCTGATGGTTTGAAAAAGAAATCCTTTATTTGCGTTGGCAAAAAACAGAAGACAAAATATTGTACTTTTTTTTTTCAATGCAGCAATTCTATTTGTGCACCATATCAGGACACTATGAAAACAGCTCCATCCTCTTTTCCAAATATGTTCACGTCTGGTTCCAAAAACCACAACCACTGTAGCTTCAACAAATGTTCAATTAAAGGCCTCTTTGTGTTTACAGTGTATATATATCTAAAAAGCAATAAAAGGTTTTCTTTTTAAAAGCCATTTATTTCCGACCGAAGCTCCTCAGACAGCTTGTAACTTTATCTCATTAACACCTCATTAACTGCCTATAAGTACATTTAAATCCACACGAAAGGATTACAGCCGACCTGGAAGTATTCACTCATCACAGTACATGGAGTAATTCTATTCATAAACTTCATACACAAATAGTTCTTCCCATTCATTCACAAGAGATAATACTAAAACAGGTTTTGTTAGTGTGGTGCAACAGCTCACAACTTTGTTTACAGTCAAGAGAAACATTGCAACATCAAGACTAGAAGAAGCAGAACAAAGCGCCTGCGGCCTTTATTTATAGAGGCAGCAAAGCGATCAAGGATTAAGAAAATTACAAGCATGGGCTTTACTAACTTTTGTTTTATATTTCACGTTATAGAAACATGCACACAACAGTCAGAAATGCCTTGAATGAACATTTCAAACCACCGCTTTCCCCTTAAGAACCTCTTGGTTTTTACTGTGTTTACAGATGTGCACAAAACTGAGCAACCCTATCTGAAAGCATTAGACATTTAGCAGTCAAAACAAAGCCCATCCTTTAAGTGTCAGGGGAGGGAGTCAATACATTTACCGTGCAGCTGGACATCATTTATCTGCACAGTATCTTATAGGAGACCTGGGAAAAGTCAGAGCAGAATGTAATTGGCATCTTTCAAAAACTCTCCTTTTCTAGGAACCAAAGCCTGAGGAGGTCTTGGCTGAGGAACTCACTCACGGTTTCTGAGAATGAAGTTCTGTGGGCAGGACGGTTTGTTTTTAACCTTTCAATTGAGGATTAACTTGAGACCTGTTGCTCAAACATTACACTAATCCAGGCATAAGTTAAACAGTCCATCCTAATAGTCAAATATCTGAAAGACAGCAGAAGCGTAAATCTGGAAAACCACAAAAACAAAGCAGTTTCTCCAACGGTTTCAGCTGACAGTTCCTGGAAGCTTGTTGATGCAATTGTATCAAGAACAACACAGACGAAGGGCAGATGTTACGGATCCCACTCTCCAAGGACAGTATTAGTAACAGCTTAGTGTCATAATCAATAGTAGTAGATCATCTTGATTTTGCGTAGTCTATGCCTGAAATATGAAAGAAAAATGACAACTCACTTGTATAAATAATCTTTTTTGATACATTATTGTTTGTGCTTGTGTGGTGATGAGAGTTTATGTTGGTTATTTTATCTACGGTGTTCATCCTTCTACTAGTTTAGAGTATATTAAAGTGGATCTCAGAGGGGATGTTAAGCTATGCAATGCTCTCAGAAAATTAATTACAGTGCTCTTCAATTCTGCATTTGATTAAAAAAAAGGCCACGAGCCTGGATGGGTTACTATCACCTGAGATAAACATGGGATGGGAGTGCCATATTGTATAATTCCAAAAACATTAAAAAGATAACCTATGCTTTCACCCCTTTGTACCCTAGCATGGGTCAAAGTGGGACACATGTTTCCTTTAGTGTGATTCTCTGTTCAGGTAACATTAACATAATGAAATTCCTGCCGTTGAAGTGATCATTTTTCTGAGGATTATGGGATTGCAGAGGTATGTGTTTAATCACTGTTGACAACCATCACACCCCTGAGTGTGTGTGTGTATTTGAACAAGATGGAAAAACGTTGTGTGTGTGTTGCACAATGTTGGTGGTCTGATATGTTTGTATGAGAAAGAAACCAGAGAAACAAATATGTGTGGCATGTGTGTATTTGTTTGTAGAGTGTTCTTTTTTTGTGTCTACTTTTCTTTGGTTCCTTTATTTTCCGCTCATGCTGACAAACCCATACCGCTGTGTTTGAAGGGTTTCTGTCTGCTCTTTCCTTTCCTTGTCTTTCTCTCTTTTTAAACCTTTAATAAAAAATGTTGAGTGTCATACAGGGTCAAGCTGAGACTGCATTGTCAATTATGTTTTGAAGGGAAACATATTTCCTCATGGACGTTTATTTTTTGACTTTATGTCATATTAAAGTCCTCATAGGTTGTGACTTTGAAAGTGAAACCAAAAAAAGCCATAGGTCTATTTTAACTTACTTTAAATTATATACGTAATTTAAAAAACAAGATTTAGTTTCATTATGGTTTTGATTAACTAGAATTTGGGAGAAAACATTTCTCCTCAAAAGACAAGTGATCATGCAGTTTAGTTAGGGTTAGGGTAAGGTAAAGTCATTTTGTTAGAGACAGGGTTGTTGGTTTTGAGATATGTGTCTCTAACACTGATGATGTAGCATGGCTTTGCTCCTATGCACATGGTATATGGAGGTCCCTGTTATCTGGGGTTCCCAGCTTTAGAGAGCTGTAAACTCCCAACAGTGGAGCCTCTGTGCTTTTACAAGAAGACATCTGACCTCAGTTAACTTAACAGAAATACAGCAGAATGTTTTTGTTGGGCAAACAAGCACAAATACATGTGACTTGGTATACATTGGTTTGGAAATTCAAATAGAATCATGGATAGGGACAGGCCTAACTTAAGATATGGTAAAACTTGGACAATATTTGCTTGGTTTTCACCCTGATGTCCATTTCCAGCATTTCGACAACCTAGATTTGGTACAAGTGGAGAATAGAGAGAAAGAGAGAGAGGGAGCGGGTGAATAAGTCGTTTGTTTGTCTCGCTGTCTCTCAGGCCTGGTGCTTGGTGCCTGGCGTCCAGGGTCATTTCCTTTCATAGCGACCACTGCCATCCTTGCATTAGCATTTTCTCCGCTGTGGGGGTAACACTTGAGTGTGAGAGTGTGTGTGTGCTGGGTTGCTTGCACACTTCGGGCCTTATTATGCAGGGACTTGGGAAGACAGAGAGAGGGGAGCAAATCCGAGACATCGACCTGACGTCGCTGAGATCCACCATGCCAGCCAGCGGGCCCCTGCAGGTGAGTGCCCCCTGTGAGAGAGAGAAACTGTGTGTAAGAGAGGGAAAGACTGGGAGAGAGCTGGTTAGAGATAGAGCAGACATAGAAAGATGAATTAAGTTGTGTTATAGATGCATCTTTCTATCTGTTTAGCAAAGGCCTCTCCTAACACTCCACCTTTCTGTTCCCCCCTCCGACTCCCCCTTTCATCTCCATTCCTCTCTGGTCTATCTCCGACTCTGAATCTCTGCTCCTGTCTTAGCTTTGCCGCAGAGCTGTGGTATGTCCTGTCTGTGTGAGAGCTGAGATCATAGGCTGGCTGTGTGTCTCTCTGGGTTCAGCCCAGCGTTTGACTCTATTCTGAGACCAGGTTACGATCGCAACATCCATCAAAAATCAATTAGGGCCCGGGTGCAAAGTCTAATAAAGTCCTCTAATGCAGCAACGGGTCAACAGAACAGGTACTCCCCAATGCCAAGAAAATAGGGCAAGGTTTGAGAGCATGAAGAGGATTTATTCAGTGTATTCCCTTCTGAAGGTATTTTTGAAGAATCACATATAGTAGTATTTTATTCATTGTTCAAAACAGTATAAAACGACTTTCTATCAGTTACTGATATATTTAGCTACACAAAGTGTGTGTGTGTGTGTGTGTGAAAAGGTGTATCTTATGTCTTAGCTATAACAAGGGGCTTTCCCTTTAAATCTACTTTTTTCTCGGTAATTTCCAAGTTGTGTTTTTTAGTTCAGCTTTTCAGATTGTTGTTAATCAACAGTGGAAAAGAAATACATCACAGATAACTAACTTACCAAGAGATAACATTTTAATTTCAGTCTAGTTGTGAATTTTACCCGATAGCAACTCAGTACAAATCTTATATTTGACTTCCAGTTGCAGCAGCAGTATGAATTTATTTAGCAGGAAAAATAAGTTTGCTGCTTGCTAACCACGTCCAAATATACCTCTCATGAATGCTGGTTCTGTTCATTCATTCACTTGAGCAAACATACACTTTCATTCCCTGACTTTCCCTGGTACAGTATGATGAGTCACTCTTGCATTTTAGTGAAACCTTGAACAATATCCTTTATGAAAGTATATTGCATCTCTGATTTTGAGTATCATTTGTCACAGTGATAACATAAAGCTGTTACAGTAGCTGGGGTATGTTTCATCAGCAATAAGCGAATATTATAAGCAGATGGATGGTGAAAGAAGATAAAGACCACCAAGACTGTTGGCAGAGACAGAGGCCATGGCCGTTTTTAACCATAAAACATCTAGCATCAAATAAAGCTGTTTACTTTGAACTTTACATAGCGTTAACATTATATCTTGTGGAGAATCAAACTGCCAAGACAAAATCATACAAAGTTACAGACAGTTATGTGTGTTTTTGATGGGTCAATAATGCTTTTTAGGAGGTGAAAGACATGAATGTATTTAGTGACAAGGCTGTGCTAATAAGCTAATGTTGGTGGCTAGCAAGGTTAGCCTTTCTGGCGCAGTTTCTTATCTAACTTAATGCTGTTAGGGGTTTCTTGTTACAGCCCCATGCTGGCAAAACGCAACATCTTACAAGAAACAGCGTCTGAGGGCTTCTTAATATTTAACAAACTATGAATGTGTCATACCCACTTGGGGGAAGAAACTCAGCTATCAGACAATATTAACAATTTTTAGCTAAACGAAACACAAGGGTAATACCAAGCCTCATTAGCACTAAGCGAAAAAATGCTAACGCACTTAGCACACAATTCACGGTAGAAATAATTTATACTTCATCGGTTCTGCACAAATAAGTTGCTATGAGAGCTACGAGAGTGTATGAGAGCTTCCGGTTTTGGGCTTGCTGGCTGCGCATCACCCATTTACCAATGGTAATGTTTAGATGGATTTAGGAACTTCCATCTCGATTCTATTGGCTCTATCGGTTAAAAAGATGTGTCAATCATCAAAATCGACTGATGGGTTTCAGAGCAACCCAGTCTCACGGCATTCCGTGTTATAATCACGAAATTAATTTAATCTATTGATTCGTGTTAAATTAATTTCGTGACTATTACACGAAATGCCGTGAGACTGGGTTGTCCAGAGACATGGTAAATGCACCCAAATGACCCCAAAAGTGGGTCTTTTTTTCTAAAGAGTTGGTGATTCTTAAGCTGCAGCCACACGGAGACAATACGGGTCGTATCCGCTACAGTTCTCTATCATATACACACGAGGCCGACAGGGAAATGCAGAAACGATAACGATGACGGGTCCCAAGGTGGGTAGATCTGCAGACGCAACGCTCAGGGGGGCCAAACGGCTCTGTGTGTGTACGCCCTATACGATAATTTCCTGATAATAATGACGCAATAGCCCCGCCTCTCCCCACCTCTACTGCTCCTCCCCGCATCATTGCTGATGTGTTTCGCCAACAACAACAACAACAACAGCATTCCTAGTGTTTCGAGCCAGGTCCCGGTATCGCGCAGGACAGTGCACCCAGTAGGAGCCTCCAGCAGACCCCCCCCCGCACGGTTCCCTCGTCCCTTGGAAGAGGCAGAGAGGTGGGTGTTTTTCATCTGCTGGTGGACTACCGGGGAGAACGTCCTGCTCGGGAGCTGCCTTTTACAGCAGGAGCACACGCTCGCCTCGGGGAGGGAGAAAAAGAGAAACAGCAGCCGCCGAAACAGTCAGAGCCCTGCCTCTCTCCCCACCGCTGCTGTTGTGTTTCGCCAACAACAACAATGGCAGATCACAGGGTTGCTTTTGTGCTTCAGACGCTACATGAACTACAGAATAAACAGAAGGGCAACCATGGCAACCATGCTCGGGGTTCTTATTCACTGCTTTTGGTGTATTTTGTGGCGGAAGTACAGTGCCACTTACAGGCTCGGGATATGTACTACAGCGTCTCCAGCGGGTCGAGCGGTCTCGTGTGGACGGACACGTTTCTGGTGCCAATTGCGTGTGGACGGAAGACTTTTTTGATATCGAATTCGGTTAGTTTTCGTTACCGTCTCCGTGTGGCTAGGGCCTTATGGCCCGTCCACACAGCAGCGTTAAAAAAATCTTGGAGGTAGGCGTGTCTGAAAGTTTGGGGATTTTTATATATAAATATACTGAACGAGCGTATTTAGGGGCCCCAAAAAACCGAAACATACGAGCCCCGGCCCTCTAAGTACACTCGAACCAACAACAG